CAGATTCAGAACATATAACAACCAGACCAGCCTGTGATTTATACCACATTTCTTCTGGACAGAGTGTTTTTGTATTCTGTTCTCATGTGTTACATTACAGATACAGAAGAAAAGAGAGGTAATCAGATTACAGTTACATTCAGTACAAATGGGGATAATTTAGAAGAAGCTGCTGATAAGTCTGGTGTTGTACGGCAGCGGATACTTCTGTATGTCTTGGCAGACAGCAGCAGGGCAGGCAGGCTGTGGTTGGGGTGGTAATTTCAGCACTGACAAACAAATATTATCTCATCAGCCTGATAAGTCAGGGGTCAGAGGTCGGCCATGCCTATGTACTGTAAACTCAATGAGAATCAGGCACATGCTGACCTAGTTTCTGTGTCCTCAACTTTACCCCTCAAATCCCAGATATCCTATAATTTCCAAGAACACAAACTGAAAATGGATGAGAATCCTCCACAGATAAAAACACTGTAGGGAGACACTTGTTGACTGTAGGACTGAAGCAAATGTGCAGGTTTTAGTATAAAATCTCCAACTGGTTTTGCAGGTTTCACACTCATGAAATTATAGACAATTATAGACCTACTGAGGGGTTGAAGATTAAATGTATTGTATTGTGAAATGCAGGCGACAAACTTTACGACAAGAGTGGAGTTTCTAAAAACTATAGCCTATAGGTGGGGAGTGCCCTGGGAATAAAAGAGGCTTTATGTTCACACGTGACCCGGGGTTAAACAGCTTTGTAATTGGTTTACTCATTCTAGCCTGCATTGCCTATACATTACCTGCAGTTGGGAAGGTACGGAAATAATTACAGAGGAAATCTACGATATAGAAGTAAAGAATAACTGTAAAAAGTGTATGGGAGACGGAAATCAGTACTTGGCTTAAACAGAAGGTGATACGCAAATTAGGAAAACTTGAGTTTTTTTAAAAAATCAATCAACAAAATCTGTTTATTCAGACTGAACTGCAAAAACACGATTAAAAGATCGATCAATTAGGCATTTTATGTTCATACGCCATTTAAAAATCCCAGCTTTTTATTATTATTGACCACCACCAACAAAATCCATACATTATATTTGGGTCAGGAGCTTTACTGGTGCTGTGTTTTTGCTGTATCTGAGTATCTCTCTATAGCAGTGGTTTCCATCCTGGGGTTCGTCAAAGCTCCATGGGGAATCATGAGGCCTTCAGTATACTACACATTAGGCTGATACCTCAGAGTTTCTTTAATTTATGTGAAGAAAAGCAAATTAAATTGTTGTTTTTTTAAATAATAATTTAAACTTAAACAAAACCTGGACACAAGCTATATTCACAGAGCCTTCACTCACTGCATTAGAACAACAGCCAGGTATCAGGGAGAAGAAAACACAGAATATGATTGTTAAAATATCAGAAAGAATTCATCCAAATTGCCAGTTAACACAACTTTCTGCAGTTATTGTGTTCAACATTTGTGTGCAACATTTATACCCTTATAATCTTGCATGATAATGACAGAAATGATGATAATGATCATCGTACTAATAACACCAATAAAATACATTAATGCTTGCAGGATCACAGTGATACAGTAGAATCGATTTCAGGTTGTTTTTATGTTTATAATCAAACTCTTTCTTTCATCATATCAGAGGTAGACGACATTCAACAGGCCAAATTCCTAGGTCTATAACATTTGTTATTAGATTTATCAGTTTATTTTGCTCATATTTAGTTTTTATGAACATATTTAATACCTGAGGCACATTGTTTGATATTTGACTTTTACACTACAGTTATTGGTGAAATTATGAGGCAAAGCTTGGACTTTTCTTGGACTTAAATTCTTACTTCTCTTTTTTGTTGTTGTAAAATGGATAAGATATCATCTGTACTTGCACAATGTGTCCACCATCTTTTCTGGCTTATCGTTTCAAACTTTCCGAGGAGTGCGTTTACTGCATTCACTGCACATTTCTCAGAAGTAGCAGGATTACATTGAGCTTCATCCAGATTTCTGTCCATGTTTACTGTGAGAGTTCTCAGAGCTATGAGATCTATTTGTGTTGAGCGTTGGCAGCGCAAACTGAGAGCGGTTGAATAATCAGGACACAGTTTCTCAATTAACCAAGAGACAAATGATTCGGTGGCCTGTATAGCCTCTCCATAACCTTACATCTCATATCAGATATATTGTGGTATTATTTATCTTAATCAGATGAGTTTTTAGAGGCTAAAACAGGAGTCAAAGACAGTTTTAGCAGAATTTCACAAGCAAACGTGAATTCAAAGACAAACTACAATCTGCTAACATCCGCTAACTCCATATAAGTGTTTAACACTCACAGGCGCTCACATTATCAGAAAAATCAAGAAAATTATATAATTGTTGGGTTAAAAGTACTTAACTTAGACAAAATAATACTAAATTGATTAAATGAGTGTGTAATTATCTTGAATAACAACACGAGTCGTCCATGTTTGTCTGGTTTTCAGGCGCTTACAACTTAGATGTTGACGTAAATGACATTAAGAAATTAGAAACTGGTAATTCATGTCAATTCCAACATGTCAGGACAGTTTGTATTGTGATGGCAGGCTAGGCTAATGCAGCTAACGTAGGTCAATAACATAGCTTGGGCTATATTGGTTGAGTCTAAATTCCAGGAAATGTTTGTTTGACTAAAACTGACTTATCTCCAAGACCCCGTTGAGTAAAACCCGGCAACATTTTTCTTTTGTTCCACGTTTCAGATTGGATATTCTTTGTGGTTTCTCTCAGCACAGTTATCCAGATAACTCAGTAAATCTGCTCAAAAGCCCCCGCCTTGACGTGAGACCCCCTGACTCTGATAGCACAGCTAATCAGTCTGACTCGCCACAGATTACAGCATGACGCTGCACGCAAGATCCTTTACAATGAGTGACCTGTAAAACTGTTTGGACACGACCAGGAGGAGCATGAAAGCAGATGCTAAATATAATTGAAGTTAAGGGTAGAGGGTGAAGGAATAAATGTTGAGTGCATTAGAGGAGAAATCTATCATAACGGTCCATTTATTCATCCTGAAGTGAGGAAACGGGCGTATAGACCGACTACACTGCAGCTTTATGTCAACTGTACTCTGTTTACTAGTTAAACACAGCTATCATGTGCTTCATTCTTTTTTACACAAGACTTTGTTTGCATGTTTCGACAGATTTGATACAGCATATCTGCACTTGAGAAATACGAGAGGCAAAGGAAAAGTGCTCGAGCATTTTCTTTATCTGTTCATCGTCGGTGTGGAAATGTTTAAGATGAACAGCAAGTCGTAGCTATGCTCGTATAGTGGCAGGTAAGTGGAGCGCTGAAAGGGTTAACAACCTTCTGTTGTGAGGGTGGGGTGATTAAAGACACACGGTCTCAAAATAAGAATCTAGATGTGTAGGTCAGGACCTTGATCAGGGAGCTTTCACCCGGCTGTCTGCCGCTTTGGCAACCACATCCACGCACATCTCGTCTCACATAGCCAGACCTATCGCTAACACTTTGTTTTAGCACTGCACCAGCGCTGGAGAACCGTCTTTATCATTCTAGTATAGGGGTTAAAATGCTCTGGCTGGTTTGTATTTCTTTAAATCAATCAATTATCTAGGCGATGCTAAGCCCACAGTGCATCGACTTGTTTTGGTGAACCATTTTTTACATTGGGAGATTAGCAATGGTGTAGTGGCGTCTGAAGAAGTGGGTATCCTCTTAACTTATGCCCCAAACTTCATTTAGTGAGAATGATGTGCATCAGAGGGGATTTAGAAGTAGATATACCCAACGGCAACTGAAAAATAAGTGTGTATAGTCTGAATACCTGGGTGAGCTCTGGCATTAAACTGTCCCTGCAAAAGGAAACAGTAAAAGACGTATGTCGACTACGTGATATGACTTTTACGGATAAAAAACACAAACATAGTTTGATCATCTGTGGCCTACAGGGGAAGCTGGCCTCTACTTTAGCTCTGGACGAGCTCACTGGATGATTCAGATCAGCTGTATGTAGCTCTAGCAGAACGTTATTTAACCAATATCACAGAAGCTCGTGTGAAGTGAAACAGATCGGTAAATTGGAATAAAATTGTAATTTTCACTGTGTAAGTTAGCTTGTTGTTATTTCGAAGAGGATTTTGAAATCGGTAACGCACAGATAGAGGAGTTCCCAACTGAAATACTCAGTTTTGCTGCACGAATGATGCCTAAAATAAGACCTCATGTTTTGTTCTACGACATAAAATATGTCAGTAAATACCCCACTCTGGATTTTTTATTCTTACGCGTCTTGAAAAAGGGCAGTCGCTAACAAGTGGCTAAATGAGACTATGGAGGTAAAATGTCAGCATGGCGAACTCTTAAAGTTTAGTGGCAGTGACGCTGAAGTCAAGCAACCGCTGCTAACTTCTGGGTTGGCAAAAATACAAAAATACACCATCCCTGCAGGCAGGCTTGTACCCACAGCTAGTCCTTGTGAGTCAAACTAATGTACATCACACTTCCTCCAGTTATGTAAGAGGTTACTGTCTGTTCAGACTACTAATCCCTGAATGGCAGCCAATCAAGAGCAATGCAGCTTTGATATTGTAGTGCAAGTAGAGATAATAGTTTTATCTACATGTTGGAGAAAGGGAACAAAGTCCAAAGATGTCAAGGTGCGACAAGTGTTTCTTTCGCCTAAAGGTTTGTCTTGTTTGTCTTTCAATGCCTCATTTAGAAAAAGAGTTTCTATTCTTCTCTTTATTCTACTACACTTTTCTGTGTGTCTTTTCCCAATTATAATATTAAACCTCTCTCCCACTCCTGTCTCTCAACACTACACAACAGAAAATGCCCTCTTTATTCCTTGTGCTTTATCAGTTCTGACATTTCCTCTCCACAGCAGACTGCAGGCTTTGGCTTGAGATCCTTGAGATAAAGAGGGATTTCACGTGCATACACACAGCACTTAAAGACATCAACACATGTCACTCTCTCTTACCGTGCAAGTCTGGTCCGGTGCAGGTCGAATCCTAACATTGTCCCCCCCCAAAAAAACCAAGGAGTTGTAAAAAGAACGTACGTACAAAAAAAAAAGAGTCAGGTATGTACAAAGGTGAGTCCGCCGAGTCTGACTCAGACCATCGTGCTCTTCTTCTCCCTGAAGTCCGAGTGCGTTGGCTCGTGGTAGGTGGTGATCATGTTGGACGTGTCCCACCGTCCCACTGGGGCTGGAGAGGTCTGCATCACCACCAGCCTGATGGGAGACTGAGTCGGCTGCGGGTCCGGGGCGTACTCCTTGGTAGGATCTTTGCCCCGGCAGTCGTACATGATACACGATATCAGGAAGACCAGGAGCAAGATAACGTAGCTGGCAATGAGGATGCAAAGGTTCAAAGTGACGGGATCGATCTCCTGGTAGTTTTCCAGAAAGCCCATGGTGCCTGCCTCATGCTGGGCGGCCCCAAGGCCTCGAAGAACAAGCGCCTCGGAGGCCTCAGAGGAAGGGAAGGTGGAAGGTATCGACTGCTGCTACAGACTGAGAAACACTAAACAAGCCTGGTGACAGCAGGGCTTTCTCCCCTCTCTATCCTCTTCAATCTGTCTCTCCACTGTCCTCCCCCCTCCCTCCGTCCATCCTCTCCTCCTCTGCCTCTCACCTCTCTGTTTCAGCTGAGCGCTCGTGGATACGTGGCTTTGTGGTAAAAATACTTTAATCCGCGCCACTCCTCCAACCTTGAATTTTCTGCGATCAATGACTCCCTTTTAATAACTTAAGCTTCAGTTGTAACTCAGCAACTGTGACAGACTTTCTGTTATATCATCTGCGAGCAAGTGAACATGAATTACTGTGTATGTGGCGTATTTGAGCGCATGTTTCGTGTGTGTAATCTTAATCTTGATTGTGAGTGGGGATTGACGGAGGAAGCCATCTGGCTAAACAGAGGCCGGAGAGCGCGGCTAAAAAGCCACTCAGAAAATGCTAACATGCTAGCAGAAGGCTTTATGATCACAGGACGAGGTGAAAGACATTCCTCTCAAATGTAAGACCTCCTATTATTTTGCTGAACAATCTAGGCAGATTACAGCAGTGGTCTTCCTCTGTGTCACACTCAGAGGCGGGATTATTACAGCGGACAGGGTTTATAATCTGTTGATGCATGACAGCACCCACCCGTGTTTGCAGGTGCACCATCGTGCGTGTTTGCAGACATGAAGAATGTGAAGAAAAGGACAGCTTCAGTTTCAGTTGTGTTTTTAACAAGTCTTTTTTCACCTGTTCTTGTGGTGCATTAGCTGAGATTACTGTGGACAGCAGAGGGCACCAATTAGCAACGTTAGTAGCGGGAGTAGACGCAGGAGAGAAGCAGAGCTGGTGGCTGAACTTTGACCCAGACACTTCAGGAGGTGGGGGGGGGTTACACAGAGAGCACAAATAAAGCATGCTGACATTCTGACATGGTTTTCTGTGCATGTCCTCCATTGTTATACTTCACTTACAACATTTTAAACACCCTTTGCATCATGCAAAGTTAAGGCTGTGTCCTATTTTCATACTCCACATGGATTCTAACCAGGTTTGGAGACAAAATGAGGATAAAAGTCAGTATGTATACAGTATGTATATGGATGTTTGAGAGCTGGGGATGGACACTATCATCCTACAATGCAATGCACAGTCAGGCAAATGGACTGCATTAAAGTGCTGTTCTGCTCTTTCAACCACTCAAATGATTTTCACCTTAAATTCTACTTAGTTCTTAGTAACATTCCTTTAAGTTAAAATACTGTATCATCATGTTTTCTAACTTTGGAAACTGCTGTGTCGTGATTAAACTTTTAACAGTTGATTTCATTAAGTCCAAACCTCAGACAACATGTTTCTTTATGGATGCATATACACATAAAATGGTTGTCGTGTGCTACACTTTATTTACACATTTATTTACTGGTCTTAGAAACTATAACACCTTGACTTCAACTGAAAATACAGCTGAGGTTTGAACTGTTTGTGATCTACAGTATCTTTTTAATGGGTATTTTGCAACTCAAATTTCTGAAAGTTGCCATCTTTACTTAAAAAAGAAAAAGAAATGAAACATGCTAAAACCTCAACAGCTACTCTAGAGGAGAAAAAGAACCAGATGTTGTTCCCCTGATGAAAAAGTATTCACAACATAAACAGTGTGAGCATGAAATCGAGCACTAATCTGCTCAATCTCTCCTGCAGAACAAACTGTCGCTTGTTTCCTGGTGTATAACGGTGAGGGTGGGCAGCAGATGCACACATTACATTATCTGCAGAGCTCAGAATGACCTCACTCCTCTCTTGATGTCGGGACTGTAATCCCTCTGTATGTTCAGGAAACCGATGCTGAGCAAAAAGCTTGACCCCGATGCTGTCAGGCTAACATACAGCAGCCCGCGACCTCACTGAGGAATCATCCCTCAGTGAAAAGGGATGACCTCTTTGCGTCACCGATCCCCGTCCCGCTGCCGGACCCAGCATCTGGAGGAGTCAAAGTGCACTCTGCAAACTGCGGTCGGCGATGACTGCATCACTTCCACTGTGAATATTTTCATAACACATGTCATTGTTCTGCTCATGACTGGCTTTCATGTAACACCAGGGATATTCGGAAAAGGCTTTATAGTGCATAAATCTGGATTAACTGACTCCAGGGGGACATATTTCTGTCTCAAATTCCTAAATGTTGATATAATTTACAACTGAAGTTACTTCTTTTTGACTTTGTAGGAGGCAACACAGGATCTATCGCTCCCCAGAGAGGATAAATCAATAATGAGATGTTACTATTGTGTTGCTGCTGTGCTTTTTAAGAGCTTCTAATATTGATTTTTGATATTTTATCTGTGAGTGTGTATCATGTTTAATTCTTAGTTTTGCTTTTTAGGCACTGAAAGACAGAATAGTTTTAATTAAAAAGGGCTATTTCACAATACAGGAAATGTATTAACATTAACTTAAAACTTATTATTTTGCCAACACTTAAAATTATCTTATTTTATCTATTTGCCTCCTCACAAGGGAAAGCACAACTTCTCATTCTAGCATTTCCAGATGCAGATTGAGCAACATATATAACACAATACAACCATTACAAAACAATGGTCCCCATCAGGAATGAAGTGCAACATAAACTGCTTTATAACTCTGGCTGCTCCGACTGTAATAACCAGACGGACGTAAACATATAGATGTTTTAAATCATTTTTTCCTGTTTTTCTGAATATTTTTATTCTTATATTAACCCATTTGTGCCCATAGACTATGTTTAGTATCATAAGGAAAAAATGCCTTCACATTTGTTCTGGTTGGTCTAAAGTTTTTAAATTTGGTACCGACATACTTTGGGCAAGTATCTGAAAGTACAGCTTTGAACATTTTTGGATCACATCACACTTTTATCAAAAGTCAAAGTCAGGATTTTTGAAAAATTAGAAAAAATACAAACTTTTTGTTTATGAAAAAATTAAAGTCAGAAAGCATTTGAATTACTTCAATTTAAGTATAATGTGTAAATCCGCAATTTCTTTTAAATTTACAGCAAATCAAATGATCTATATTTTTTTTGTTTTGAATTAAGTTTTTATGTTATTATATTTACATATATTATTGAATTTCAAGGAATCAATAGCAGAAAAAAATCTTTTTCAATTCATGAATAAGGAATATGGCAGTAGTTTGCACTACTTTTATTACTATGCACTTCTTAAATTAACTTCATTTTATGTTTTGTGATATGTACTGAGAATAAAAACAAAACATGTATTCAAAAAGTCAAATCATGTAAAAACTAAAGCTTAGATGTGATAGAAAGAAAAGTTTAAGAAAGTTTAAAGATATTCATGTATTTGTTGTATAAGCAGGATGAGACCTCGAAGACAGAGCAGCTCTCTTAAAGACAAAAGCCTTGAAAAAAAGGTGTGTGTGTATCGGGATTGTCACTTTACCAGAGATTTAGAGCTCTAAAAACAGCAGCGAGTCAGAGGAAGACTGGTGTTTCTGTCCTGGGGATGTTTGTGTTGTCGTGGTCTCGGGGAATGATTAGCTCAGAGGATGTAATAGGTTTGTCTGTGTGTATACCAGGCCTCTTGGGTGGAGTTTCTCCTGCTCATATCTCTAGATAGATCTTCCCCAGCGCCAGACGCTGGTGCCAGGGAGTCCGGCAGCCTCGCTGGGACCTGGAGTCAGACAGCAAGGAGAGATGGGAAAGGGTGTGTTGACAAATCCTGCAGCTGTTTGAGACTGCGAGGCGAGGATGTTGAGAGTTTGCCTCTGCTTTATATTCTACCTCCGTATCTCGGCCGTGAAGCTCCAACAGGTTGTTTGTTCATTTTCACAGCGTGAAGCCGAGTCTCCTGCAGTGATCAGGCACATCGTGACCTCCCCTCTGCTCTCCAACCATAAACCATCCTATGAACAAATGAGGAGCAAGCCATGTTCCCCCTACGGTGGCCATTTGATGTGACCTTACAGGGAAACAGCTGTGATTGTTAATTTTTAAGTCCTATAATTTTCCCTGGATGACAGTAAATGTTGATTAAAAAGTCTGATAAATAACTGCTGTGACAGAAATACTGAATAATAGGGCTGATTCCCTTTTTTCTATAGCTAGCCTATGACCTATAAATAAATGTACAAATATGCTAAAAAAGTTAAGTTAACTGTTTGATTAATGGTTCTAATGATGCTGGTTTATCAGACTAATTATCAGCTTATTGTACTCAGTTTCTAACGGTAGTATGCAACTTTAACAACTTCAAGACTCCTGATTACAAGACTGAACGTTGTGCAGTATGAACTGTACATACCTATATGTAAGTTTCCATACCAAATAATCTAATATTTTCCACCAGATTCTGGGTATGAGTTTCTAAAAGTTTGCCTGTGAACTTCCAGAGTTTAACTTCAATCAGTTTCCAGATATTTGAAACTACTGGAGAGGAGATCCAGTTAAGTAAACCTTTTAGCTGAATTTTACCTGCAGGCTACTAAACATGTGAACTAAAGTGACCTCTGTCATGGAACCGTTAAGTGAAGGAAAAGCTAAGATTACAAGAGTTACACAACAAAACAGTTTTTTTCCCTCCTTTTCTGGGCCAAAGGGGAATATTTAGTTCGGTCTGAATCGGGCTGAAGGCCAGAGGGCACTGAGGGGAGGGAGGTGATGCAGTGAACGTGATCCTTTCGTCTCTGTTGTGTCCTCAGAGATGTTCCATGAGGTCAGCAAGGAGGTGCTGGTTACACAACCGGGAGACAGCTGAGGGAAGCTCCTGCTGCGCTGCTGCTAGCTGAGGATCAATCAGTTTGTTGCCATTCCTCATCCGCCTGCAGCCAACAGTTTCTGACTTTTATATTCCATTTTTTCCACAATAAAACCAAAAGTGCAAAAATATAATCAATATTTACTGAAACCACTCTGTTATAAGTAAAAGTCCTGCATTGACAATGTTACTGCAATAAAAGTATGTATGCATAATCATCTACTTCAATTTCAGTTCAATTTAATTTATAGTAACTAAGGTGTCAGATAAATGCTGTTTCCCTCTGAGATGTAGAGTCTTGTGAGATAAAAAGACTCAAGTAGAGCACAAGTACTAAAATGTTGTACTTAAAGGGGAACTTGGCAGCTCTAGCCATTTCTTCGCTGGTTTTCACTTTTGTCGTCGCATGTTTTCTGAACGAGCTCCCCCTACAGCTCTGGGACGTATATTTCAAAACACTGTCGTAAAAAAACTCACTTGCGGCCCCCTCCTCCCCCTTTCTACCGCTGCTGATGTGCATTTGTTGCCGGAGCGGGGAAAGTCACCATTTTCAGCAGAACAGGCCATTTAACCATCAGATGATTTCTAAACGGGTTTATTAAGTTGAAATAGTTGCCAAGTTCCCCTTTAAAGCTGCTGTAGGTAACTTTTATTGGTAACTTTGTTATATAGAACATAAACAAAATCAGGTTCCTGTTGCTCATTCCAAGTTTTCCTAATGGTATTTAAAAGAATCCAACGGGCCTGAATAAAAAAAACAACCAATCAGAGCCGAGAAAGATAGATAGACACTTTGCGTTGGAGGCTTAGGGATAGTTGATTGTGGAGTCTTAATCCCAGTTTGTCAAATATACCAGTGTTTCGTGTTGGTGGCTTTGGGACCCAAAGCGTCTGTATTTGGCTCTGATTGGTTGTTTTCATTCAGGCTGGTGGATTGTTTTATATTCCATTAGGAGCACTAGGAGGAGCCAGAGGAACTAATACTGTCAGGATATATAGTGAAAGTTTCTCAGACCTCATCAGGGTAAATAGTCACAATGAATGAAATGACCCCTGAGACAAGACACGATCATGGTAATAAAACTACATATAAAGTATCACACTGCCAAATCATTTCCTCTCTACCAAAGACCTCTTCTCAAACACGAAGAAGAAGACTGGAGGAGGGTGGGGTCTCACCTCTCGGACAGCAGCGGGTGACGGACGGGGCCGAGGATCTCGCAGATCTGATAAAGGCCCAAAGAGAGCCCTTTCCTTCCTGAGTGGCGGACTGTTTGTGTTAGAGCGTTGTGCGTCCCTTCTTCTGGGTGTGGGAACCTGCTCCTCCCAGAGTTCATGGTTTCCTCTCGTCAAGGACCCGCCACCACCGGCCCGCATGTGTGTGTGTGTCGTCTCCAGCTGAATGAAGACACTGTACAATAAAACCAACCTCATTATCCTGTTTTTACATAAGCACAATGTTTGCCTCTGTCGATAATGAAGGCAAATTATATTTATATATATATATATATATATATATATATATATTATAGTTATAACTGAAAGCTGAGACACATACTCCCCACTTGTGCTCCCCCAGTCAAAGTCTGGAAACACCCTTTGAAGTAAAGATTCATTATGATTTTTATATTTATAGAATGTATGTTTGCCAAGAAAGTCCAAAAAATGCATTTATTTAAATTAAAATATGACAGCTTTTTACATAAAATGTGTCCAAGTAATCAGTGAAAACTTTCTTGATCATAGTCTTAACCTTACTTTATATTCCATGAACTGTGTCTTTATTTGCTATCCTTAACTTTAAAAGAAGAATTGGTTTTCCATATTTATTCTGGTTGAGTTATAATTTGTTGATTTGTTTGGAAAAGTGCTCGACAAACAAATATAATTACAATTATATCTATTGCATTACGGCAACATCATAACTAATAGATAACACCCAAACAACAAACTCCAACTTTAACTTTACTCGAGTCAAACCCTGTCAATAACTTTTCTGACTCCACAGAACAAATATGAAGCTTCATAATAAAAACCATAACAATGTGGAACTCTTTACAGCACGCACACATGTTGCTTATAACCAGAGCTGTAGCTGCCACTGACGTCACCTCTTCTGGAAAGAGTGGATTTTAATTATTTAAGAGTTTACGTCACATGAACTGGGGGACTCATGATATCAGTATTTTTTTAAAACAAGCCTGGCCATAACAACACCCAAGCATACATACAAAGAGAAAGTACTGAAATGATCACATCAGAGGTAATTTGCCACATCAGCCTCCCATCAACACTTTACATTTAATTTAAAAATAGGAAAACTCTTATCAAAAAACTCCAGCTGGCAGATTCTCAGAATATTCCTGCACCAACCGAACAAGAAAATATTAAAACGTTTTCAAACATAACATGAATTTTATTTAAGATTATTCAATGCACATGAATCTATTTCCTTCAGTAAATTGCACATATCTTCACCACTCTAATGTAATAAGTTATTTTAACTAAAAACACTGTTGAAATGGATTACATCGAGAATTTTAAGTAACACAAACTACATTTATTAAGTTAAAAAGATCCTTGATTTAAGCAGCTTTTATTCGTAATTTTAAGTGACACTTTCGTAAATTACAGAAACATTCCTGATTAAGTACTTTTTATCAGGTATTTTGTTTTCACAGTACAAATTAAAAATGACAAAATGAAGCTACTCGATCAAGAATGTTTAAATTGAGTTCATTTTACTTACAATTTACGACGTGTCACCAATTTTTTGAGTTAAATGAACTTATTTGGTTTTACAGTGTGATAAATGATATGGTGTGTTGTGTGTTTTCTTGCAGCTCTGTCTTGGGTTAAATGTCTCCGCTGTGCTGCAGCCCACATTCACACCCAGTTTGAATCAGCGGGGAGCTGTAAAACTGACTCCTCACCATTGTCTCATGTACGTCATCACTTGTTCGCTCCTTCCCAGGCAGCAGTGCTCAGAGGAATGTCCACGGCTGATAAAAACCAAAGATCTCATCAAAACATACCCTCCCCCCACAGGGGCTCACAGTGGTTTACACTCACTCAGGAGGATAAAGGGGGTGGGGGGGGCTGTGGTCGGGTCTGGTTCCCTTGTTGACGGGGATCCAGGGTGGCAACCTGCTGCTTTATGGGGCCACAGCTCCGGCATTGACAAATGACAGAAGAATGCGTTACAATACATGAGCCATGTTCACACTGTTTTCCTATAAATCTGATGTTTTCTCATCACTGTGACTTGTGTTCAAATGCATTTTATGTTGGACTTTTGAAGCATCGAGCAGGGGCATTTCCAGAGGGGGGGTGGTCTGAAATCTGATTGGGTACCTCATGTGCCACCCCATTATCCATCAACAACTCCGAACTGTCTTTCAGAGGCTGTAGCGGACTCTGTTTTAAAGCTAGAGTTAAATATTGCTATCATGAAGCTAGATGACCTAATGCATCCATCGGCTCCAACCATTTCATGCGAGCATGTCAGGAAAGGGGCTAAATAATGTTCCTAATTTAGGCACGATTTTATGGAGAGATAAACTAGAATGGCCATTTTCAACTGTTACTGACTGGACCTTTAACAGAAGAGACAGCCAGACTCTACAGTCTCTACTGTATGTTTTGATATGGGGTTAATAATGGATGCGACAGAACTGATAAACGTCTATGTAAGCGCTGAAAACTATAAAAAAAAAATAAAAAATTCTATTTATTATGTTAACTGAAAGGAGTGAATGTTGAAAACCGGGACATTTAGGTGTTTTACAGATATTTGTCAGGACTCCCAGCTTGAACTGGGATAATCCTGAACAAACGGGACATCTGGTCCCTATATTATAATGACAATGTTAACATGAAGATTTTTTATCAGGTTTACATTTCTTAGTTTTGAATGTTATCATGCTAACATTTGCTAATTAGCACTAAACACAAAATACAGCTACAGCTGAAGTAAATGTCATTCATGTTGTTTTTGGTCATAAACCAAAGTATTAGTACACTGCGTCCGTATAGACTATGGACATTAACATTAACATGGCTAGAAACAGAAAAACAGAATGACAAAATAAACCAAAAGACAAAGAAAATACACTTTCATTGCTGTTACAGGACTGATGATAAGTTGTCTAGAAGTTAATAAAAGATTTAAAAGTGCATTTAAGATCATCAGGTTGGTTCCATCAGTGCACAGAAAATCAACTTCACCATTGACTGCTTATAGTACTGCTCCCTTTTGCCATGAAAACCAAGAGACCTCTCTTAAAAACATACTAAAACACAAGAAAGAAGCCCCAGCTGACTTGATTTGTGTGCAGGGAGAGGCCTAATTTCAATTATAGCTTCATGCTGTATCCGCAACTTGTTGGAAACAGATGTGGGAGTATGGACTATTGAGCAGCATCTTTCACTGGTTTGGACACGCTATCATAAAGTCACAGTAATTCATGTTGCAGATGAACTGCGAGCGTGGAAACTGTTTGAGGTGTGAGTTGGAGGTTTATGGAAAAGTTTTTAGCTCCACAAAGGAGCTTAGCTGTTCAGATGAAATGGAAACCAAGAGCTGTGAAGAAGCTACTTCCCATGACATCATTGTGTTTGTTAAATGACCTCCGCGGGCACGACGGGCACACCTTCTCATTTCCTCCCCGAGCCACTCAAATGATTTACTTAATTTACAGACGGGGTGGGGGGAAATGTTTTTTTAGTGCCAAGAGTGTCCTTGAAAGACTAAATAAGAAACTGAAAAGACTCATATTGTCTTAATATACAACAGCTTCACTCTTACTGAAGAAACAATGTTTTATTCTAAGCTGATAGTTATTTTTCATTATCAATGTGTCTGCCTGTTGTATTCTCAATTAAAGCTGCAGTACGTAACTTTTATAAAAATAACGTTTTGTCATATTTGCTGAAACATTCACTATATCCTGTCTCTCAGTTGAACATGAGACGGATAATCTGTGGAAAAAACTGCTTCCTCTGGCTCCTCAAAGTGCTCCTATTTTTTGCTAGAATCCACGGGGCCCGAACAAAAACATCCAATCAGAGCCGAGAAAGATATAAAGACACTTTGGTTTGGAGGCTTGAAGATAGTTGATTGTTGTTGTGTGTCAAATACAGACGCTTTGACACTCACAGAATGAGACTCAACAATCAACTATCTTTCTCAGCTCTGATTGGTTGCTTTCGTTCGTGCCAGTGGATTCTTGCAAACGCCATTAGGAGCACTAGAACGAGGCAGAAGAAGCTGATTTTCCGCAAATGATCCGTCTCACGTACTGCTGTTAGGATATAGTGAAAGTTTCAGCAAATATGACAAGGAAAATATTTTCATAAAAGTTATCTACTGCAGCTTTAATCAACTACTTCTTTTGGTTTATAAAATGTGTGGAAAAAAAGTGAAAGAATTCCTACCTTAAATTCCTAAAACCCAGTGTGACATTTTCACAGTCCCACTCTGACACCAGACAAAAAACAGTGAACAAATCCTCACTATTCATTCATATATCTATAATGTTATTATTACTTTTTCTTTACATATTTCTGTACATTTGTAAATTACTACTTTGCACTTCTGGTTGATGCTAACTGCATTTGCTGCAATGACAATAAAGTTGAATCAAATCAAATCTTCACAAGCTGGAATATAAGAATGTTTTTCTGTGATCGGTTAACAAAATAATTGCTGATTGATTTTCTCTGTTGATCAACTACTCGACTTATCGTCTAATTGTTTAAGACAATTGTCTACAATCACCCCAGTCATTTATTAATCCATAACATAAATGTCTGAATACCCTTCTCAGTGTGATTTTAAGTTTCAATTAGAATAGTTTCCACAATGGAAATAAGTCATTTTTCCGACTGTTTTTAAGGAATATGAATGTATTGGTTGCAGTGTTTGACAAGGTGTATATGTAAAAGATATCAGAAATATCGAATCAGATCAAAATTAGTTGAAAAGCCAGGCTTTGCTGAGCTGCTGTGTCGCCCCTCCTGTCCGACACACTGTGGTTGAACATTGCACAAGATTTTTGGAGAATATGGGGGCGTCCCACTTTGTCTGAGGGGCCATCGGTAGGAAGCGTGTCCTGATCAGAACCCCTCCAAGATCTGGCAGCGACTGTCTCAGTTATAAGAGGACATTCTGTACTTGATTGTTTTCGTGGCCACATGTGATGTTCATTACTGCTTGGTCAAAAGGGAATGACAGAGTTCATGCTTCATGCGCTTCTAACTCGACATCAGCGGTTCCCAATCTTTTGCCTCAAGGGACCCATTTTTATCACTGCCTAAACTGACGACCGCTGACTAAGGGTTTTATAGAGTTTGTGTAAAATGAGCGATTTGGATGAATGTTTAGCAACTTTTTGCCAACATTTTCG